GGGGGGGGGGGGAGGGGGTAGAATGGTCGACGTTCAGCTTGTGAGTCGCTATTTCCTTTGGGATACCTGGCATGTCTGCATGGGAAAAAGCAAACAAGTCTGCGTTACTGTTTAAGAATTAGTGGAATTTACCTGGTTCTTGAAGCTTGTGGCCGATGTAAGCTTTCTTGTTGTGGTCGTTATCATCAAGTTGGACGGGGTTGAGGTCTTCTACGGTTGATCCTGTGGCTTCTATGATTTTGGACCTCGACCCTGTTGATTGCTATGCTTCTTTAGCTTTACCCTTCATCTGTTGGGTGTATGTGCAATCTTGGGCGATGTGATAGCATTCTTGGGAAGTGCGTTATTCTCCTCGAATATTGTGTATTCCCCATGGGGTGGGAAATTGGATGCTTTGGTGCAAGTCGGAGGGAATAGCCTTAATGGCGTGTATCCAAGGCCGACCTATTATGGCATTGTATGCCGTGTCCTGGTCCATGGTATGGAATGTGGTTTCTAGGGTGACGCCGCCAGCCATGACGGGATGCGTGATTTCTCCAGAGGTTCTCTCAACTGCATTGTTAAAATCGGTTAGTGTGATGCAGCGTGGTACTATCTTATCCTCGAGTCTCATATGTGCAAGTACTCGAGGTTGAATAATGCACGCGCCGCTCCCGTCGTCCACCACAATTTGTCTTACATCTGTATCTAATATGCGTAAAGTGATAACAAGAGCATCATAGTGAGGAAAAACCAAACCGTTGGTATCAGACTTGTCGAAGATGATACTTTCTTCGAGTTCGTCGTACTGTTCGTGAGTGATCAACCGCTTGAGCTTGTGGGTGGTGGTGAACTTCACACTGCTAATTGAGGCGTCGTCGCTGTTGATACCCAATTTTTCCCTATGTATTTTTATATGCAGAATACTTTAAAGATAGCATATGTATGCATATATGAGCATGTCCCAGGGTTTATTTAGTTTTTCCTTAATTTTCAAAAGATTTTTTAATCAATTTATTGCCCTATTTTATCAAGGGAAAACCCAATACTTATCCCGAAAGTTATCATTTTGGTGATTAATTTACTTTTTATTCTCATATTCATCCCAAAATATAGCTAAGGTATTTTTTGCACATTTTTTACAAGTTATTAGTATTTTTAAAGCTAAATTGTATATAATTGCAATATTAGCCTATTTTAAGAATTAATTGCGTTTATAATTATAAAATTGATTCCAGTATTTTTAATTTAATATTTATATATTATTATTATTTAGTACCTTTAATTTGTTTTCAGAAATCATTTTACTATTTTTTTTATAAAATAAAAAGGGAAAAATGGCTATTTAAGTACTAGCCCTATTCCATTTCAATTTTAGCCTAAAATCAGCCCCCCAATTAACCCAATTTCAACCTCAATTGGACCGGCCCAATTCCCCAATTACCCGCCCCTGATCCGATTAATTCAACCCGCCCGGCTCTCCATTAAATATAGGCCGTTGATCAAAATGATCAACGGCCACGATCCCTCTATTCCTTTTTAATCTACCAACACCCCAACCCTAACTCATTTTCAACCAGGCAGCCGCCTTTGAATCCTCTCATCTCTCAAACTCTCTCGAACCTTCCCCTAACCCTAGCACCCTCTCACCGTCTTCTACATTAAGCCCACCGGAATCCATGGCCTCCCAGGCCATGGGAGCTTTAAACTCACCTCCCTTTGCTCTTATACACTTGGTACTTGAAGATTCGAGGTCTGACCTCGAAGGTTTTCACCCAGATCTCCGTCGATTCAAGGTTCTATGGCCTTTCCGGCCTTGCTCCGGCATATCCAAAGCATCTCGAGCCTGGTTCTAACTCATCCGACCAAGATCGGACCTTTTCCAAGCCTTTCTCATTCTAGGGTTCCTCTGAAACCCTGGCTATTCGAGGTTTCTCTAATTGTTTTCTTAGATCGGTTTTATATCTGTGCTTTACTGGAATTTTGAAACGTTTTCCTCGATTTTTCTTTCAAAAATTACTCCTCTTCGATTTAGGGTTTCTGAAAGTTTCAAAATGTTTCTCTTACTCTTTTTCTTCTTCTCTTTATGTGTATCTGTCTATGTTATGTTCTTATGTTTTCTTTTTCTACCTTGCATGATCTTCTACTGTGTTCTTAAGTTTGCATGTTCTTCTACCGTGCCCCGTTCTTTCTTCTACTACGTTTCTATATCATGCTCTCCCATGTTTCTCTTGCTAGGTTTCCTTATGTGTTCTTTTGCTGGGTTTTTTCCGATACCCCCTGTGTTCTTCTACTGTAATTTTCTACTAATTTTAATTCTTTGTTTGCCTTTCACTGGACCTTTGTTTGAGTTCTTTTAAACGTGTTTCTTCTACTGTTCTCTTAAGTACTATACTACCTCTTTTGCTCTTATGAACTTGTTTGAGTTCCAAGTTTTCTTAAAACATTCTCTTTCCTTAATTATACAACCGTGTACTGTCAAAACCCTGCCCTTAAATAACTATTATGTATTTACCCCTCTTGTACTGCTTTGAAAAGAGTTTGATTAATTTATTTCCTTAATTAGTTATGCCCGTTTGAATCTGAATCCCTTAATTAAGGGAGATTTTCGTGTAATTAATTAGCAATCAGCTTTCAAAATTATTTCTTGCCTTGTTTCTGCCGGCTTTCTACACTATAAATACATGACACAAGAAAAGAAAAAAAGGGATAGAGAACAATCACACACACTCGTAAAATCACAATCACAATTCTCTTCTGAACTTATACTTAGAGCATTCTTGCTTCTTGTCTGCACTTTGGCTTTTACAAGACTACTGCTTCTCTTTACTTGCTTCTTTGAAACTGGTATGTCCTAAAATTAATTTCAGTATCACCCCAATGTGTTTATTTACAGTCCTTGTATCCATGTCTACTTTCTATCCTTTGTAAAGTGTAACATCTGATTTAAAGTGCCTATATGTTATTGCCTGCTTCTCTTCCTTATGAACAATTGCTCCTTACCCCATTACCCCTATGTGTTTGTGAGTGGGGACTTAGGGCATGGCAGCAAGAATTGTTGTCCATGACCTAAGTTTTGACCCCCTAACCCTTAAGTAGGCTGGAAGGTGTGCCAGTATGTCTCCTTGCTGGGTATGCCCCTTTGCCTGTTCTTTTCTTGTATCTTGTTTCTAGTATGAATCCCCATACCCAATTCCCCTATGTGTGCTGAGTTAAGGTATAGCCTGGTAGCATCCAAATTGCTGTCCAGGGTTGAACCTGACCTTCAATAGGTCTTAACTCCCCAATTCTAAAGCTGACAGGCTGGTCAGGGGTGTGCCAGCATCCAAATTGCTGGGCATGACCACCAACCTGCCATCTCCTTCCCTAATTCCCCTCTATTGCACTTACATTTACTCCTAGTCTCTACACTCTTACAAACGTCCTAAATCAATCACGCTTAGAAAGCATGCCTATAGGGATAACTAAATGAATCTGAATCATCTAGCTCGTTTACAAGTCTAAAATCAGTAGTTAATGTCGTTTAATACCTGCAGATTTTGTTATCTCTTAAATCAGTAATCTTTCTTTAAACCAGCATGCCTTCTGCAAATGTTAGATACATCGATTGCAGGCCTCATCTAGGCAAACCTTTAGGTAATTAATCAACTTTGCCAGTTTTTAATAATTACAACCAGCAGGCAGGTCTAATTCGGACTTCTTATCTGAAAATATGTGCTAAATCAGCCACCCTTCCTACGTTAAGTTTAATTAAAGACCTAACCAGTATTTGTAAGTCGTGCTAGACGATCTGTTTCTTTAAATGAGGAGGCCTGTTTGAGCCTTTAACTGCTACTTGTTCCCCCTTAATTGCTTATGTGTTTTGTTTGTTGCCTTAGACTTTTATCCTTTTAAACTCTAAAAAGCCCAACTCCCTCCCCTTAGGATTAGTAGTCCCAAATGCCTCCGGGACTGATAGGATCGGGACGGGTAATAGCATGCAATAAGCAACGATACTATTCCGCGCTTTACTACCTAAACGGGGTGGGAATGGGTAGATATGGATATGATGATCGGTGCGCTAATACCAACGTGTAGCCCCTCTTTGGAGGAGTGATTACTGGGTATTGCATTGATGTGATCCATATTATTTATAAACTTAGGACCCCCTTCCCTTTTACTTGGTTATTTTTAGAACTTTTAAAACTGCTTTCTTCCCAAAACTTTCGCTTATTTAACTTAATTGCTCGCAGAAATTATGTGCAAATCCCTTCCCCTTTACTTGTTTATTTTCAGAATTTCAAAAGTATTCTCTTCCCAAACTTCAACCTCTTTAACTTCTTTTATTTTAATCGCTTGCAACCATTACGTGAAAACTACCCTGTATTTGTGATTCTTGCTTGTTTACTTGTCATTTGCATTTAAAGTCACAATTATAGCATGGCCGGGAACCACACTAGTGGATCTTGGGGAGTGCCTAACACCTTACCCCCGAAATAATTTCAAGCCCTTACCCATTCTCTGGTGCTTTTTTCTATTTTATTCTTAGTGTCCTAATGCACTCAATCATTAGGTGGCGACTCTTCAACCTCCAAAACCCAAATTCCCAAAGGGAATAGAGTTGTCCGCCCAAATGTCGTAAACCCGATTTCGCCTTTAAGGAAAAAAGGGGGCATCGACAATCGCTCCCTCCGATGATCATCTGAATGTTTCGAGTTGGGGAAGGTGGTTTGGGTGGTCCCTGGTGCTGCTCACGTCCTCGAGCGAAGTTGGGTCTTCCTCTATGGCTCATCAGTTCTTTCAAGTGCCCTTGGTGAAGCATGTTCACGACCTCTTGCCTTAGGGCGATACAGTCCTCGGTTTTGTGGCCTGCTCCTGATGGAATTCGCAGAGAGCATTTGACTTCCTGATGCTCGGGTCAGACCACATCTTCTGCGGCTACTTCAGTTTTGGGCCGAGTTTCTCCAGTGCGTAGACTATTTCTGAGGAAGAAACACAGAAATTGTGAGCAGATAATATGGGGGGCATACCTCTCTCATTTCGGTGAGTCCTTGTTCGTGGACTAGATGGGCCTTCGTCGTGACGGGGAGGCGGCATAAGGGTCCCTCTGACGTAAGGTTGATGTCTTTCTCGATTATCGGGGTCTTGCTAGATCTCTCAGATTGTCGTTTCTCCGATCCTTTTTGGACTCGGCTTGTACCGAAGTCAGCCGTTTGGTTGGCCTATTTAGGACGTCTTCGTCAGCTCGAACTTCGACGCAATAGGCATTGTGTATTTCATCCCATGTGGTCGGGGGGTATTTCATGAGGCGACTCAGTAGCTTTCTGCTCACCCTTGAACCACTTCTGTTCAACCCATTTTGGAAAGCTGCCACGGCCATTCCTTTCGATACGTTTGGTAAGGTCATCCTTATTCGGTTAAATAGAGCAAGGAAGTCCCTCAGTCCCTATCCAGGTGATTTTTTTATGGCAAATATGTCATTTACTCTTGCCTTCGCCTTCTTTGCTCCGGCATGGGCTGTTACGAACTTGTCAGCCATCTCCTCGAATGTTTCAATTAAGCGTGCAGGAAGCTGTGAATACCAAGTTAACGCTCCCCAGTGAGTGTTTCATCGAACTTTTTCAATAAGATGGACGGTACTTGCTCTTTGGCGAGGTCATTGCCTTTTACTGCACTGACATAGTGAGTCACATGATCCTCAAGTCTGTCGTACCGTCGTATATCTTTAGGTATGGAGGCATTTTGAAGGTTTTGGGTATGGTATGTGGTGCGGCTTCGCCACTGTACGACTGATCGATGAACCGACCGGCGTCTCTTTTTGGTAAGAGTTTTGGGGCGCCTAGTATTTTGTCTACTCGTTCTTGATGTTCTTTTATCTGATCTCGGAGCATATTGTTTTCGTTTTCCATCTCTTCCCTTTTCTTAGGATGGCTGTGAGGGCGTCGTTACCTGCATGATTAACATCGTGAGTAGTACCTGCTGTGAGTAGAAGAGGGGCGTGTTGTTCGACTACTATTGGCACAACGTAGGTCCTCGCCCTCTCTCCGGTTGCCTTTTGAGCTGGTTTGTCAAGGATGCCGGTCAACATATTCGTTAGCCAGGCCTCGAGTAGTTTTTTTAATGTTGGTTGCGCCTCTTCCGCTATGGACGTGGAGGCTTCTTTACCGTGGGATGCTGTGATGCTACCATGAGGAGGGGGCGAGCCGTTTTGCCTGGGAGAGGTATTTAGTGTTATGTTCTCACCCTCCGTTTTAGAGACCTCGTTGATGGTGTTGAGGAGGTTGACAGTGAGGTCGGCTATTGCTTTCCTCCTTTTATCTCTGTTGCCTCCCATGTTAGATCTGTGTGCACAAGGAGGTGAAGGGTTTTGTGTTTTTTTTAGGGTTGTAGATCTAGCAGAAACTAAAATTTTAACAAGAAAATCCCCACAGACGGCGCCAAATTGTTGACCAAGTAGTATAAATTTTTGGTTAAACTAACTAAATAAAAGGATAAGGGGTTAATCCTAGTTAAATATAATGACCGTAGATCTAAAATCGGTTTATGCAGATAACGTGGGACGACGTCGAAGTGGATTTAATGCAATACACATTACATGTTATGGTTAATAATGGAATGAGAATAATGATAAGCAACAAATAACAAGAAATGACACTAAATGTAAATAGAGAGTGATTCACCCAATATTGAATGAGGTAGACGATTCCTCTTTCTGAC